ACACACACACACACACACACACACACACACACACACACACACACACAGTGCCTGCTGAGTTCATTTAGTGTTCCTTGTATGTCTGTGATTTCAGGGCTGACCACTTAGTATGGTAACTAGTTAGACTTCTCATCTCTGGGAAGGTCTAGTCTCCCATCTCTCAGTTAGTTGCCTGAAGTTCTTTGTCTAGGGGTGGGGCCCTGTAAGATTTCCCATCCAGGTTAGCATGTCTATCGATGCCATCATTGTTCTGATCAAAATTTTTTGAGGAGTCTTGGAGGTAGCTTCCCTCTCATTTCTAAGAGACACATTCTCACAGCAGAATTCCTGGTCCTCTGGGTCTTACAGTCTTTCTTCCTCCTCCTGTTTGGTGTCCCCAAGCCTTAGGTACAGGAACTGTGTTGTAGACGGGTTAGCTGGGGCTGTTCACCACAAGGTCAGCTGATCTCTACCTTTTGACCAGTTGTGGTTTTCTGTAATGGTCTTTAGCTGCTGCGAGAGGCAGAGCCTCTTTAATGAGGGGTGAAAGCCACACTTATCTGTGGCTGTAAGAATATTTAGAATGCACTTAGAAATTACGCTGGTCTAGTAAAGTGATGGTAGAAGGCTCTCTAGGATCCATGACCTCATTAGCCCTGGGCGGGTGGGTAAATTCCTAAGAACAGGAAAGGTTTCCCTCTTGTTGAGCAGGCCTCAAGTCTAATTAGAGCGATGCTGGTGACTGTGAAGACACAAACGCCTCTGTTTCATATTTAGGGATGTCTTACCGTGCTGGTCATTGCTGTGGTTCACTGCTGGCTAGGACATTTGACTGCTTCCCTCCACCTGCAGCTTGCACAGCACCTTCTGATAGTCGGGAAGTTAGACCCTGGGAAGGGGGCTTTCAGGTCAGATCCAGATGTATCTTTTGAGTCTGGTCCAAACTGTGGTGTCTTTGGCAACAGAGACTCATCTTCGACCTCTGGGAGGCAACCAAGGTCAACAGCAATAGACTTGTTTTGAGATTCTCTTGGACTACTCTGACTGACAACTCAAAAGGAGGTTCCTTATGCCTGGCACTGGGGTTTTGTTCTATAGTCTGTGGGTCTTGTGGGGAGCATTGTCATCAACCTTAATTAGTCTAGCTTCACTTAGTGTGTGTGTGTGTGTGTGTGTGTGTATGTGTGTGTGTGTGTGTGTGTATGCGTGTGTGTGTGCCTGTGTGTGCATTTATCATTTGGGGTAAATATAAAATATGACTCCTTAAGGCATTTTCAAACCTCCTTAATGTTATTTGTCCTTTCTCCCTTCTTCAATACAGAAGAACTGTACTGACCTCCGAAAAGCTCGGCTGTCTATTCCATGTAGATTGTTTGCACCGTGTCTTTGAAAAGACCACGATGATATGCTCCTTAGTCACGTGGTAGATTTCCAAGTATTTATTTGCCTAAAGGAGCTCGGGAACAGATTTCCCTCCTGTCACTTTGACACAGTGGCGAATTCTCAGAAAACCTGCATCTACCTGGACACGACAAGCCGGGAGGTTTGTTCTCTGCGGTGGAATCTTGAAAGCTCGTTCTCTTCCTTTCATTTATCAACAAAGCAGGAATTTGTTCTGACCAACAGACGCTTGCAAGTAGGTCAGCCCTACCTCTGCAGAGCAGGATGTTTTTCCAGAAGTGACTCGTGGGAGAAGGCTCTGATGATGGGTCATCCGGTGGTGGTGGTGGTGGGCGCTCGATGTGGTTCTGTCCCTAGTGGCTGTGTTGTGGAAATGGAAAATTCTGGACCTATTAGTAAAGCTCTTGGGGAGTAGGCAAGGTTAGGGACAGTCATGGAAATCGGGGGGGGGGGGTGAGGGCCTTCCTCTGCTTAGCACGTCTGCAACTTGTCACATTTATTACCCACTCTGAGAATTTGTGACACCAGGTCCACAGAAGACGGACTATCGTCACCCTGGCAAGCTGTCACAGAAAACAGAGAAAGCTTACAGTTCAGGACATAATTCTTTTACAGCTTTTAATAATGTTTAGGATGAAAAGACCCTGACTGAAAGTGCAATGAGTTGATAGAATGTTTGGACCAAAAAAACCTCAAATGACTAAACATGGCCTTTTGAGTCTCTTTTGTGGCTGGGGACAATGGGATGTGCTTCCTCACTTTCCTGTCATATTGTACATTAAAGATTCCACTTTATCCCCTCCTTTGACAGTTGGTAGTCCGGACGTCCTGGGCTGCAGCTTCTCCCTACAGATCACGCTGTTTAAATTAACCTGTTTCCAGCCGCGTTACAGCACCCTTGCCAAGCTCTGACCCTAAGTAAGCCCATCTCCCACACAACCTCTGCTGCTGTTGCCTAAAAATTTCAGTGAGTCACTCCTCTTAGCAAACCCATTAGAGAGAGAAGGCGGCCACCCGTCCCTCATGCCGTAGTACCAATTGTGTCACGGGTCCCAGCTGAGAACCCAGACGGCCAGGGTGTGTGTGTGGGAGGGAGGGGGCTTTATTTGGAACCAGAGGGAAGTATGTCTTGGGATAAAAGCTCCATGCACAGGGGACAGGCCTAAGTAGGGGTGAGAGGAGACCATGCTTGGGTGGCCTTTGGGAATGCAGAAAGGAAAGAAGACAGAATGATTTCACAGTTTACCTTACACTGGTGAGCTACAGTGATAAAATTCTTTTTTTGTTGTATTGTTTGATTTTCTTTCTTTCTTTCTTTTTTCTTTCTTTCTTTCCGAGGTAGCATTTTACTAAATAGTTAGGTTAGTCTCAAACACACTTCATAGCCCATGCTGGCCTGGAACCCGTCACCCTCCTGTCTCAGCTTCCTGAGTGCTGGGATTATGGGATAGGGCCATCCTCCTTGGTTCATGCTGAGATTCTTGTGTGAAGAAACTAACTTCCCACTGCAGCATAAGCTCCACAATGAGAAAAGTATGTTCTTTTTTTTTTTAACCAACTTTTGTTCAGCAACGATTGTTCTGACCAGCACATTAAACACATGAAAGACTGAATGGACGAATGACCCTTTATACAAATCCTGCTATAGCTAATGTGTAGCTCTGGAGCAGAGAGAGTCAGCTCAGTGGTTAAGAGCCAATATTGCTGTTACAGACGACTTGAGTTTGGCTCCAGGTACCCTCATCAGGCAACTCACAACTGCCTCTGACTCCAGCTCCAGGGGATCCGACGTCCTCCTCTGGCCTCCGCAGGCATCGCATGCAGGTGCATAGATACCCTCGGTCACGCCTGCACACACACACGATTAAAGAGAAAAAAGAAATCTTAAGAAAAACGTGTCGCTGTGCCTACTGCAGCTATGTTTTCAGTTGACTTCCAAAATGCTTTTAAATATTTTAAAATATTATGTGCTGCTAACAAATAAAAGCATGTCCACCCCGCTGCTGCCTCCCGCTGCTTAGAATACTTAAAACAGTAAGTGTCAGTTCTAGCAGCTAAGCAAGCTTATTACAGGAGTCAATCAAGGAAAGATTTATCGACCACCGATCTGTGCCCAGGAATTTGTCTCCTGGAAGACAGAAAGGCCAATCTGTTGATCCATATTTTGCTCTATACTTATAAGGACCTAAGGCAAGCAGCTGGGACTTTTACTGCTCAAACATGCAAATGTGCGTGGCAAATGGTGGCCACCACCATTTTAATCTTTCCTGTGCCATCTTACGGTCTCATTATGACCACTTGTCTGATGTATTTAATTTCCCAAATTTTTGTTCCATGAAAAATGGAAACTGTATTGTCTTAACATCAGAAAAATGTACAGAAAAATGTAATAGAAAAAAAACTGCATCTAATTTTGTTAATAAACTATAGATGGCAAAATGACATACAGTTTAGATTTCCGAAGCTCACATTCCGGAACTCACATTTTTCTGTAACATTAATTATGTAGTTTTAGGTTTTTGGCAAGAGAAGAACTCTACACTGTGATATTTCTACCTTCCTGTTCCTCAAAGTAGGTCTGAAATGTTAATATAGACGGAACAGCTTCCCTGGCGAGGTGTGCAGTAAGCTGGAAGGTGTGGCGTTTGCTTTAGTGGTAACTCCGGCAGTGAGTCGCAGAGCAGACCCTCTGACCATTGTGAACACCCTCAACTCTGACACACACTTATCCCAATTATGTCTGGAAGCACAGAAAGATTTAGTAGTTAATGCTGGAAGCATGGTTGCCATCCTGGCTCCTGGACTTGTCCACTGTGCTGGGTTTTCTTGTTATTCTATGTCTCCGTTTCCTTATTTATAAAATGGGGTCAGATTAAGATCTCAAACAGAGTAAGAACATATGTATTAAGGAGTCCAGAGTTCAGTTTTTCAGAAGTGGGGAGAGAGAAGACGGAGCCAGGAATGCCAGAATCAATCAGAGTATAGAACGGAGAACTTGGACATGGCCCCAGGGCCTAGAATGAGCTAATGGAGCCCAAGTTGGACAGTGCTCCGTTGAGAGGCGTTCTCAGTTACTCTACTGGGACTGGGTCTAGGAAATGCACTGCTGGAGGCGGGGTAAGTGGAGGAAGTGAGTGAAGAGGCCACGAACTGAGTACTTTCAAGACAGCCAGTTCACTTCCCAGTGGGAGGAGTCCCTGTGGGAGCAGAGTGATCATTGGTGTACCCTTGCCTCCTTGGGGTTTCTAGTGCTCCGATAAAATACCATGACCGAAGAGCAACTTGGGGAGGAAAGGGTTTACCTCACACTTCCACATCACTTTCCATCATCAAAGGAAGTCGGGACAGGAGTTCAGGGTAGAACCTAGAGTCAGGAAATGAAGCAGAAGAGGAGGTGAGCCTCTTACTGGCTTGAACCTCGTGGCTTCCTCAGCCTGCTTTTGTATAAGCTCCAGGATCACCTGTCTAGGGGTGGTACTGTCCACAATAGGCTGGGCCCTCACACTTCAGTCATTAATCAATATCCCCCCCCCCCCCCCCCCTCACCGGCTTGCCTACAGCCCATTCTCATAGAGGTAGCAGTTGGTTTTCTCCTCCTACTATGTTGGCTGTGGGAATAAGCTATAGGTGGCCAGGCTTGGTGGCATGCACCTCTGTTCCCTGAGCCATCTCACCGGACCCATCACTTAATTTCTCGAAAACATTGTAACATGACTTGCTGTGACTGCATAGGACACAGAGTGTGACCAGAGAATGCTTTCCCCGAGCAGCCCTGCTAAGCTTGGAGCGCCCTGGGCCATTCCCAGGCTCTGCTGACTTTCTCCTCTGCCCTAGAGCCTTGCTTAAAGCCTATGGCTCTGACCCTGAGGCCAGCTGCCGGCCATCCTGGCATCTGAGGTGTTCTCAGGCTGACATCTCTGGGTTCTTCATCAGCATCTTTTCTGAGCCAGTGGACCGTGAAAAACTAAAGTAGAGAGAGTCTACACAAGGTCTCCTGTGTCCCCGACTGGCCTTGAAACAGTGGAGCATGACCTTGAACTTCTGATCCTCCTACCTCTACCTGCTAAGTACTAGGATTACAAGCCCTCTCTACCACATCCAGTTTGTGTGGTGCTGGGTATCAGGCCCAGAGCTTCACACATGCTCTGTAAACACTCTGGTGACTGAGTCTGCCCTCCCCTACTCCTTTTTAAAACTCTGGGTAGACAGGGCAGGATGTCTCCATGTAAGTCCGGCTTGGCCCATAACTTCCATCACTCCTGCCTCCATCCCATTTTCTACGTGCCCACATCCATCTGTGACTCGCCCAGTTCTTGCTACCTGCAGGAATCTCTTAAGTCATCTGGGAGGAACCTGAAGCCAGATGCATTGGCTTCTTTTGGGAGCTCTAGAGGGGACTTCAGTTCAACGCTAAGTCCACTTTCTGCTTCCACAGATTTCCATCTTACACCGAGCCCCCACCCCGCCCCCCGCCCCGGACTACTATAAAAAGACACTTCCGAGGAGGTGAGAGCGTGGGTGGGGATTTAAAGATTAACGCCACTCAAGTTCTCGGAGCCCTCAGAGAATGGGAAGGCTGTTGGTTTGCAGGACCGCAGCTTGTAAACCCTTCCCCCTCGATTTGTTTGATCCTAGAAATTAAAGGAGAAGGAGACCCCAAGCCCTTCAGAATGTGGGAAACCTTAAGACCATCTTCCTGGCAAGCTTTGCAGAAAGCAAACAGACCTTCAGCCGTTCTGGGGAGAGCGAAAATTAGCAGCGAAAGTATTAAAATATTGATAGCAGCCATTCCGTGTCCAGGCCTTGCCAATTAATAATTAACTTTACCTTGAAGGTAATCGTTGGGACGAGGGTTGCCACCCGCTTAGCTTTCAGGAGGCGGGAGAGTGCCACTCGCTCTCTTTTTCCCACGCTTGCTGAGTCTCTAACAGACCACCCCCTTCCTCGGTGGTCAGTGGCTGGGAGTTTTTTGTAACCCGCAAGTGTACCGGGAACACTTCCCAGAAGGCTTGAGCTGCTGGTCTCTGTCCGAGGTCTACCTGCCTCAAACGGACTTTTACTGTCTTGACTCATTTGTGGATGTCACCCCTGTGTATATGTGTTCATGTACAGGTGTGTAGGTGTGTGTGTGGAGGCATACACGCATGTGTGTGCGTACCTGTGAAGGCCAGAGGCCAACATTGGGGTATCTTTCCACTTTAGTTTTTATTTATTTTTAGTTAAAATATAATTGCACCATTTACTCCCTCTCTTTCCCTTCCATTTCTCACCCCCTCCCTCTCAAAATCATTACCTCTTTTTCTTTATTATTGTTTTACACATATATTCAAGGATGTGTTGCTGCTAGGATTATGTTTTCAGGACTGACCACCTGGTCCTGGGTAACCAGCTGGGGGCCCGGCTCTGGGGAAGACCAACGCTCTCTTTCCTAGCAGTTGTTAATTGCCTATTATTCTTCATATAGGGGTGAGGCCCCGATTTTCCCCCATCCATGTTGGCGTGTCACCTTGTATCGTCATTGTTCAGGTCTTGTTTCGGCAGCCAGGTTTTCGAGGTTTCACCTGTGCACCCTCACTGTCACGTTGAGAGGACACAGTGTCCCAGCAGACCTCCCGGTCCTTTGGCTCTCTTGGCTCTCACAGTGCAGGAGTGTGGTGGCTGGACTGGCAATCCTAACCTGGGGGAGGCAGAGACAGGAGGATCCTTGAGGCTCTCTAGCAAGCCAGCCTAGCCAAACTGGTGAGCCCCAGACCAATGCGAGACGCTGTCTCAGAAAGCCAGGTGAGTGGCTCCTGAGAGCTAGAAGTTGGCCTCTGTCTTCCATGTGCACGTATATGCTCATGAACCTGTAACCCTGTACCCTCTCCCCAGTACATACATGTGCAAGCCCCCTTAGCAATACATACACACAAATGCACACACACACAAGCTCAGGCATGATTGTTTTGAGTATGACAGTCTTAGAGTCATTTCTAAGGTACAATGTAATGTTTCTGCTAATGTACAGCATGAGACAACAAGGCCAGTGTTCTTTGCATTTGTTTCTTTGTTTGTTTACTTTTTTTAGCCCTGGCGGTCCTGAAACTCACTCTGTAGACCAGGCTGGCCTTGAACTCACAAAGATCTGCCTTCTGAGTGCTGGGATTAAAGGCGTGTGCCACCACGCTTGGCTCAAGGGTGTTGATTTATTTATTATTTATACTGCATGCATGCCAGAAGAGGGCACCAGATCTCACTCTAGATGGTTATTAGCCACCATGTGGTTGCTGGGAATTGAACTCAGGCCCTTGGAAGAACAGCCAGTGCTCTTAACCTCTGAGCTGTCTCTCCAGCCCCTGTGTTTTGTTTTTCTAGGCAGGGTTTCTCTATGTAATCCTGGCCATCCTGGAACTCTCTCTATAGACCAGGCTGGCCTCAAACTCAGAGATCCATCTGCCCCTGCCTCCCCAGTGGTGGGATTAAAGTCATGTTCATAATTGACCCCATTCCAGTGTGTGGGGGACACAGCTTGGACAGTGCCTGGAATCTATATTTGTGGCACTTGACTGCACCATGATCCCAGGCTCATGAATCCAGCCCCATTCCTTGTGGTCACGTGTTCCTGTTTTGTCTTTCCTGTTGCTTCAGCTCCAGTTTGACCCAGACCATCCAGCCTACACATTACTCCCTAGCCCATAGCGAACAGCTTTCACAGTATGATTACAGCGTTCATGTCAGGTTTTAAATAATCAACTATCTGGATCAGGGGAAAGAGTCATGAATGGGAGGTGATACTTTGATTTGGATGATGGCCTTTGTGAACTAACAAGCCAACTGATAGCATAAATGACCAAATTTATCACTGGTAGGAACTGGGTGTCTGATAATGTTTCTAACTTTGCAAATCTAAAGGAATCCACGGCAAGAGGCCTTTGTGTGAGTTAGGCAGTAATGCAATTTCTCTGCTCTGGCCATACTTTAATTTTCTTAATTTTAAGGTCTGTAGACATTGACACTTGCGAAATGTAAGTAAGCCAGAGTTTCTAATGGTTTTTAGAAGGCTTCTGTTTTGGGTTGTATAGTTACTTGTCCGGGTAGGGTTGGGCGAGAGTGAGAGAATGAGAATGAACGAGAACAAATTTGTGAAAACAAAGACGCCTTGATGGAATACAGTATTCATCATTCCTCCAGATTAGGCGGAGCACCCTTATAGGTTGTTTGTATCGGTCACCGTAGACTTCTCAATGTAAGTTGACAAGAAACACTATAATGTTTTATATCCAACCTTTCAAAACCTTGTTAATTATGCATAGGATAAAGCTCTTCAATAACATCAAGAGTAGACAAATGAAATCATTAGTTTAATATTCCAGAGCTCTGTACATATCTCTTATGGCGGTGCATAGGAAGGCTTCCACCCCCCTTTCTCACAATCAGTTTTTCATATATTATAATGCGATTGCATAAATGAATATGAACAGTATCATGGAGTGGATTAAATTACACAGAAGGGCCTTCACTTTGGGGGATGATAAACCTAGCTCGCAGACACGGAGGGAACAATTTCTAGTCTGTGACAGTGCAAGGAAAAGCGTTGATCACCCGCCATCGCTTTTTATTTCATCAAGCCAGGCTTTTGACAAAGTTCCCTGGCTCAGATCTGCCGCCGTGGCAGTCAAAATGGACGCAGTTGGTCTTTCTTGCGCCATCTTCCAGGAAAGTGAGATTTGGGAGGAGAAAGGTGCTGTGACACCCTGCAGAGTGAAGCTGGGTATGATGGGATGGCTAGGGTGTGCCCGCATCTTCCTTTGAGCCTGAAGTGTTCTGGAGAATTACTCCGAGAGGGAAGAGAAGAAACGCACCACATACATTTAAAACGACTTAGTCAAATGATATGATTTGCCAAAATGCACATTACTGTAATTTTACCAAGATAGGTGGCCAATTGAATGGTTCCAGAGATGTAATTACCTACATGCTATTTGCAAGGCCCTTTCTGATAGAGCTCACAAATGCACCCTTTTTTCTTTCAATATCCATTTGGTTAGAAATACATCCATTACTTAAAAATGATGACTTTGGGGCTACTATAAATACAGGTAAAAGGTAATTTCCCATAATGGGAGTTTTTTTTCCCCCTCTTCTTCTATTTTTGTGGTTGTGGAAATTGTTTTAAAATATACTATATGTTATCTTAAATCTCATTGGTAGTTATGTATTTGCTTAAAAATAAAGGGGCCTATAATCTGGGAAAGACAGTTGGGCCCATATGGAATCTAGCTTAGTGTTGTATTTAATGGGCTGAATTCAGAACACGGCCTGGAGTAGTCTCTACATCTTCTTTAATAAAAGGAGATGGGCAATTTTTTTTTTCAAACTTCCTTTTACTGATTTTGTTCAGAAATGATTAAAAATTTCAAAATAGGATCACAGTAGTAGTACTTTTAACAGGAGAAAGCCGTGGTTTTTCACGCTGATCAGAATGTTGGTACTTTGATTTTTACAGTCTCTAGAGTATGGTCAAAAGCTGTATGATGACGTCTTGGGCCATGACCGTGGTCATGACAGTGGTCCCATAGGTTAGAGAACAGCTGAAGCATTCCCATTGCCTTGTGTGTGTGTGTGTGTGTGTGTGTGTGTGTTTCAAGCTAAGTCTATATGCGTGAGTGAGCTGAGAATGGGGAAATTTATAAAGAAGAGCACTGCACTAAGCTAAGATTAATTCACTGCCGAGGAAAGAAAGAGAGAAAGGCGGGTCCAGCACAGCCGAAGCACATGGCATTTAGAAAGTCTACCATCGAGTGTACTGCTACATAGGACTCACACGTTGGCCATGGTGTGCAATCTGTTATCTTTCATAGCACCCTTTGAATGTACCTTTGAATGTGAGATTTTGCAGACACATAACTGTGTTGCGGTTGTCTGCAATGCATAGGCCAGTGGCCTGCTCTTCGGGTGGCTGGTGGGCAGGCCCAGCGGGCCACAGCACCTAGCTTAGGTGTACAGCGGGCTATCGCAGCCATGTGAGGGTGAGTTCATCTGCTTGTTTGCATAATGACAGGATCATCCAAAGAGGCATTTCCTAGAACTCAGCCTAGTTTTTAAATGACTATGTGTACATACAAACCTAATTATAGAAATGAATTTGCTTGGTCATCTGTGATTTCTAAAATATAGTTTCTATTGCAATGTTTTAAAATGTGTTTTTGTTTTTGTTTTTGTTTTTTTTTTTTTTTTGAGACAAGGTCTCATGTAGCCCAGGTTAGTGTAGTGGGAGATGTATGGTGTTGTATTCTGATCCTCCTGCCTTCACTTACAGAATGCTAGAACTATATAGGCCACGTACGATCATACCCAGCGTACTAGCTAGTTTAATCTCAACTTGACGCGAGCGAGAGTCATCAGAGAAGGGAACCTCAGCTGAGAACATGTCTCCATCAGATGGGACTGGAGGCAGGCCTGTATGGTGTTTTTTTAATTAGTGATTGATGTGGGAGGGCCCAGCCCATTGTGGGTGGGGACGCCTCTAGGTGAGCCTGGGTTCTCTAAGAAAGCAGGCTGAGCAGGTCATGGGAAGGAAACAAGCCAGTAAGCAGCACCCCTCCACGGCCTCTGCATCAGCTTCTGCCTCCAGGTTCCTGCCCTATGTGAGTTCCTGTCCTGATTTAATTCAGTGAAAAGCAGTGCTGTGGAAGTATAAGCCAAAGTCAACCTTTTCCTCCCAACATTTCTTTGGTCATGGTGTTTCATTACAGCAATAGTAACCCTAACTAAGTCACTCAGATTTTAAAATATAACATTTTAATCAC